CTGCACACTTTTCTTTAGAGGTTCACAAGAAATGCCTCACAATAAATCCTGGTCCACTCTGTGAAGAATTTGCACATGTTACATTTTGTCATCCTGAAGATCAGAAAAGTACACGTTTGGGGATTTTTCCAAGGTTTGAATTCTATACTTAATGGATAAGACACATTGAACTCAATGGCACAGGTTGAGCATTCTTTATCTAGCATCCAGAATTCTGAAATACTCCTAAATTCTAAATATGTGGGTGAGAAAGTGACAGCTCTACTTTCTGATGGTTCATTGCACATCAAATTGGTTTCATGCTCAAAATTATTACAATTATTTAATGTGTGTAAGGTGTATATGAAACATAAATAAATTTCGTGTATAGGCTTGGGGCCCATCTCCAAGATATCTAATTATGTACATACAGGCAGTCCCCAAGTTACAAACATTGAATTTACAAATGACTCCGTTAAAAACAGAGGTGAGAAGACAGGAAGTGAGAAAAATCTGCCCGCCGAGTTATAATGGGAAAATGGCTCCACCGAAAATTCCCACCAATCCTTGTTTCCACAGCAAGCCTAATTTACTAAAATCCAATTATCATAGGGACAGAAAGTGAGGTGAAATCTTCCAAACAGAGGCACAGACAAAAAAACTATATACTCTACTCCTGGAAGACAACCATACCCAGCCAAGTCGATGATGATGATGATGGATGATGATAGACTAGGGCAGGCATGGGCAAACCGGCCCTCCAGGTTTTTAGGACTTCAACTCCCACAATTCCTAACAGCCGGTTAGGAATTGTAGGAGTTGAAGTCCAAAACACCTGAAAGGCCAAAGTTTGCCCATGCCTGGACTAGTGGCAGCTGTTGTTGTAGGGGCAAATAATTATCTCCTGATCTTTCAGCCTCCCACTGAATATTAGAGTCAATTGAGGTAAACTGAAAGTAAATTTTGAGAACGTTACATTATTTAATGGGTAGGGCTAAGAACAAAGTGCATGTGTGTTTATTTTTTAAAGCTTATTTTGGTTCTACATGGTTACAATTATGACCAAAAATGTCAATAAAGTCTCAAATTTGTATTCTCAGAGCAAAGTTTATTTATTTTATATGCCACCTTTCTCCTAGCGTGGGAGCCAAGGCAGCTTTCAAAAATTGCAAATCAAACAGGAATTTATTTATTATATTTCTATCCCGCCTTTCTTGAACGCGAAGGTGATTCAAGGTGGCTTACAACCAGGCCACAATTCAGTGCCTAACAATATACAATTAACAGAATTGAGAATTAATTAAGAATTAATGCCAACAAGTCCATCCTCTCCATTTCACTTGGTGACAAATGTGAGAAAGGAAAAGTGTGCCCAAGTTCTCCTTATTCATACCCTATAAAATGTGATGGTTTCTGTTTTCTCAAAACAAAAAAAAGGTATGGTTTTCCCCCAACCCATCCCTATTTCTTTATATATATATTTCCTATTGTCTTTTAAAATCAAGTATGTTTAGTCATTCACATTCTTTGCTACAATTTCCTTGTCTGGTCTTCCTTAGATGGCAACTTCTGCTTCTTCCAAAGTTTTGCAATCAATCTACGTGTGACAATGACATGCTTACAGTAACCTGATCACCATCCATGCTTCCCGTCTACCGAATCTTGATTGTGTCTGCAGATCCAGACACTCCTTTGATTTTAAATGGAATGCAATTGTAATGGCTCTCACAGACATTCTCATTGTTAGTCTTCTAATTGGACTTTACACATGCAGTTGCTAGACTTGGGTGTGGAAGAGGAATAAGGTTTAGGAAACTATTTTTTCTCATTCTAAGATACAGGAGAGTCTCGCTTATCCAACATAAATGGGCCGGCAGAACGTTGGATAAATGAAAATGTTGGATAATAAGGAAGGATTAAGGAATAGCCTATTAAATGTCAAATTACGTTATGATTTTACAAATTAAGCACCAAAAACATAATGTTTTATAACAAATTGAAAGAAAAAGCAATTCAATGCACGGCAATGTTATGTAGTAATTACTGTATTTACGAATTTAGCACCAAAACATCACATATAGAAAAAGCTGTAGATCAGGACAGGAGGCAGGCTGCATTGGATAATATAGAACATTGGATGAGCAAAGGTTGGATAAGTGAGACTCTTCTGTAGTTGCAGTTCTCAAACCTCCAAAGAAGGAAACTCCACAACATTCTAGGTAAATCATTTATTTCATGTTCCTTAGACGCAACCAAGACAGTTACTTTTAATTACTTTTTTAAAAGCATTTTTAAAGAGCAGTTTGCCATTGGCCTATGGCAAACAGAGTGATACAGAGTGGAATGTTGGTATCTGCTGGGGTTTTGTTCCAGGACCCCATGGGGATACCAAAATCCATGAATGATTAAGTCATATTATATATAATACTGTGGTAAAATAGTATTATATAAAATAGAAAAATCAAGGTATGTCTTTTGGATTTTTTAAACAAATATTTTCAAGCCATGGATGGTAGAATTGTGGGTGCAAAATGTATGGATACAGATTTCAGCAACCACATCATTTCAGTAGCCACAACCCTTACAGCAGTGGTTCTCAACCTGTGGGTCCCCAGGTGTTTTGGCCTACAACTCCCAGAAATCCCAGTCAGATTACCAGCTTTTAGGATTTCTGGGAGTTGAAGGCCAAAACATCTAGGGACCCACAGGTTGAGAACCACTACCTCACAGGAACAACCCATGTAATGAAGGGAAATTGCATTCAGGGTCCTGCTTCTGCCTGTCATACTAGCGATCACTCATGGGAGAAACTGATTCCTGGTTGACAGGGGAATAGACCCCCCCCCCAAAAAAAGTAGGTATCGGGATAGATTTCACTGTGTAGCACCTTAACAACAGTAATTACATATTTGTAATTTCATCAATAGGTTTCCAGCTTTTAAAATCAGCAAAACCTTTTAAAATGAGCAAAAGTGGACATTTATAAAAGATTGTCCTACAAGGCAATAATTTATTAGTTTTTGTTAATTTTAGTTCTTTGCTGATTTCAATTGACCTATTTGGAGGGAAAGGGGCCGCCACTACCCCATGCTCCCTGCACGCTATACATAACCCAGAAGACGAAAATGCTTCTGCTCTTCTACAGAGTTCCTTTCAAAATATTTCTTTTTGCACTTTTTTATGTGGCTTGCAGTCCAAAACCATCCAAACTTTTTGTCAAGTAAAGGGCTTTGACAGATTGGCGGTGGGATTGTATTAAAAGGCTCACAAAGGTGCAGCCCAAGGATCACACTTTTCCCAGGCCTGATCTAATTTAAACTCAATAAACTATTGTTATTTTGTGCCTCCGAGCCATTTTTTTACTCATGGCAACCCTAAGGTAAACCTATCACTGAGTTTTCCAGGGCTGAAGAGAGTGTGATTTACTAAAGATCACCAAGTGGATTTTCATCGTCAAGCTAGGATTCAAATCATGGTGTCCAGAGTTGTAGTCCAACACTTAAATCATAGTTAAATATATTGCTTTTGGTTTCTTCTACATTCAGATGGATTAAACCTCAACCTGAAGGCTTGAGCCTGAAGAACTGGACAATTTTGGTAAACTTGACTAAACAATGAATTCAAACAACAGCTAGTACAGCTGTTCTCAATTTGGAAAAGGTCTTCCTACACTATAGGTGTTAATCATGAGGAGTTCCACAGAAAAAGGGGGTGGATATACACTAATTTATAATCCAATTTTCATCCCAGATTATCTGCTTTGAACTAGATTATATGGTAGTGTAGACTCATATAATCCAGTTCAATTCAGATATCCTGGGGTCAGATACTTAATTATATGGCAGTGTAGAACCAGCCTTAATTGGCCATGCAAATAACTGACTGAATACATTGGGGTTGGCATCTGGAATCTATTCACTTTGTATAAATATAGTGCTATATTAATTGTGATTGCAGTATCCTATGGAATCCTGGGTTTTGTAGTTTGGTGAGGCACTACACTGATATGACTGAGATTTCTCGGTGTCCCTTTCTAAAACTGACAATCTCCAGAACTCATGGGATATCACCATAGCAGTAAAAGTACAATAATTGTACTTTTAGTTTAAGTTTCTTTCACAATCAATTTCTTAAAATCCCAAGTTATTCCCAATGAAAAATATGAGAAATTTTCAAATTTTGGTAATTTTTTCAAATGAAAAATTTGTAGATTGAATTTAATTCTGGTTCAAAGCAAGCTGAACTCTATACAGCACACACACAAACATTCACAAGCACACTTATTCCATCTGTCTCTCCTTGTAATTATGTATGTGAGTGTTCAACACACATATGTTCTCATCACTGACAAGAAAGAGTATATCAACATATTGTGGCGTCCAATCAACATAATGGCCAGCTATTTTAAGACAACTTTTTTGCAAAAAAAAGAAACCCATTCTGCACAAAATGTGTGAGCATTTGTATGAAAAGTATTCTTGAGCAAATGATTTTTTTACTGAAAAGTCCTCCTGCAGAAATGATTAAAAAGTGCATAGAAATCCATGTTTGTGAATTTATGCAAGTTACACTCTAATGAGGCTATCATAAATCAGAAATTACTTAAAGGCAGACAACAACAATCACATTCAAATCCAAAGCACAGATCTTCATCTCTGTCTTCACTGCAATTCCCATTTCCATCCGTCTCATTAAGAAAAGATCATCCATTCGCCCTAACAAATGAATGATGTGCAATTGAATTTAAGGAAGTTGACTTCTCAATACTCTGTGGCTTTACTTTGTGGCATTGAGAAGGAAGAAAACAGGTTACTTCCTCAGTGACGTTAATAATTCTTTGAAAATCCACCACTTCATATTTCTCCCCCCAAAAATTGCAGAATCATAATACTTGAAATATTACACAAATTTCCAAAACCGCACACAAACAATGTGGGAAAATGAGTCATGAGGGGCGTTACCATTAATGCTAGATGCCTCTATATAAATTTGCCCAGCTTGTTCAGTAGATTTAGAGGTAGAAGAATTTCTCCTTCATTAGTTAATACAGAAGGAACTCTTCAAGAAGACCCACGATGAAGTACCTCCTAACTTGCATGACACTTCTCCTGCCTTACAGCTTTGCTCTCCCAATAACTTCCTATTATTCAGAACCAAGTACTGAGCGCCTGAAGTTGGTGGAGGTAAGTAATATCAATACTTTTAACTGTAAAACATATAACAGCTATCTTTTTGCTCTCATTTGTACTATTTTAAATGAGTGGCATTTTAATAATTCATGGGTTATTATTAATTATAAAATTTAAAATAATACGCTCATTTGTTTATTTAATTGATATACCATTTCTAGGGACCTGCTGCAGCTTTCTGCATAGTTAAAATAATATCACTATAAAATAAATATCATGTGAGCTGCTTTAGGTTCCTTTGGGTGGTATATACAGTAAATTAAATAACAATAGATTAATATTGGGTTGCTGTGAGTTTTCCGGGCTATATGGCCATGTTCCAGAAGCATTCTCTCCTGATGTTTCACCCACATCTATGGTAGGCATCCTCGGTGGTTGTGAGGCCCCTTGAGGTGGTATATGCAGTAAATTAAATAAGAATAGATTAATATTAATAAGAACAATATTCTAGGCCTATTCTCAATTTCTGCATCATTGAAACTTCCCTTGTAAGAAACTTGGAAAACGCTTAAAACTTTTTTTTGTTCCTGATCCAGGCTTACCTTGACAAGTTTTTTCCATCAGCTCATAAAACTTCCCACAGAAGTATTGAAGAACGACTGAGAGAAATGCAAAAGTACTTCCATTTGAGAGTCACGGGGAAAATGGATGACGGAACAATGGAGGTCATGAATAAACCTCGGTGTGGGTTACCAGATGTCTCGGAATTCCGGAAAGGTGCAGTAAGATGGGGAAAAAATGTACTGACTTACAGGTTGGTTATATTATATCTTTTTGCGGCTTACTTGTTGGTTTGTGAAATATCAAAAGTCCTAGTTCCTGAATATATATATATATTTCTTTTGCTCAAAGGATTAATAACTATACCCCAGATATGGACCCCGCTAAAGTACGTGAGGTGATCGCAAAAGCTTTCAAGGTATGGAGTGACGTAACACCGTTGCAGTTCAGGAGCACAAGAAGACCTGCTGATATTGAAATCTCATTTGCACATGGTGGTAAGTCTCTCCTTGTTTATCAGCTGTGTAAGAAAAAAAAACAACAGCATGAGAACATAGGACATGTCTCTAGAGAGGTTCTTTGCCCAGGACCTGGGATGAAGAGGTGGAGGAAGGCTGAGGCAGTCAGCCAGTCCTTGTTGCTCTACCTGCTGGAGCTCAATTGCACCTCAATGTCAACTTTTGTGTAGAGGTAGCTACCTAGGTCATGGAAATGCTCAGCATTCTCTAGCATTAAACCATTAGGCTATATTTCTGGCATTTCAAAGGAATTGGCTGAAGCAAGAGTTGGCTTTATCTATTCTCTACATTGACCTGTGGATAAATTAACCCAAATTTGTTAGACCACAATTTTAGATTAAAATTTCTCAGTTTGTAATGATCCTTGAGGATTATTGAACAAACTGAAATCTTACCCAAGTTTTCCACTTGCAACTGTCATATTTCTTATCAACATTTAGAACATGGAGACTTCAACCCTTTTGATGGAAGAGGAGGAGTTTTGGCACATGCTTACTTTCCTGGAACAGGCATTGGAGGAGATGCTCATTTTGATGAAGGTGAACGTTGGTCAGAATTCAACAGAGGTAAGGCATTCCTTCAGAATTGTTTCAATTGATACTCAAAAGAGACTGAGTAGACAAACATCCCCAGATTTCAGAAGGACACCCCAAGATATTGTCATGAGCTACTTATGATCATCAGGATAGGATACAACCTCTAAGCAATGCTCAATAAAACAGCAATCGTGCCAATAAAAGCTTAACCAATATTAAAGATTGCAATCAATGACAAAAGTCAGATTTTAAAGGATATTACCAGCACAATACTTGTCTCCCTTTTTGCCTAAAAACGAAGAATAGACATTTTCATATCTATACTTTAAAGAAGGCTTTAATTCATTATTCCTATTATGAATATCATAGCATATTACGAATATCATGAATATGAAACAGTTACCTAGATTTACCCATTCACAGTTGTTTCATATTCATGATCACTACTTAGTTATGATTGTGATACTATTGCCATGATCACAAATCCTACTTTACTAGGCATCGGTTTGGATGGGGAGAAGGAAGTCCATTCTGTAGTAGGCTAATCTGTAGGCAATTGGAGCAATGATGTTTCTGGATGACACAAAAGAACTGATACATATTTCCTGCATACATCTTTAACATTCATTTGACTTTCTCTTTCTCTTTCTCTTTCTCTCTCTCTCTCATGCTGTGTTCTAGATACCAACCTGTTCCTTGTTGCTGCACATGAATTTGGCCATTCCTTGGGATTAGAACATTCAAACGTCCGTGGGGCCCTAATGTTCCCTTCTTATTCCTTCACAAACCCAAATACTTACCGTCTTCCATATGATGATGTGCAACGGATCCAAAGATTATATGGTAATTTCAATGTTTCTTATAAGAGTAATGACACTGTTGCCCAGTTATGATGCTTGTTCTCCATATGTAGTAGAATAGCAGTATAATTTGAAAAAGCCTTCTATTATTCAAGGTGCCACAGTCCAAAACAAGTAACTTTTTACTTCTTTGCCAATCATCAGTTAAGTTGCTTCTGCTTTGGAAAGAGCAGAAAAACACTTAGTGTGATTTTTGTCATGTGATTTTTTTTTTCTTGGATTGGTCATTTGTGAGACACGACTTATCATACCCTGTTTCCCCCAAAATAAGACAGGGTCTTATATTAATTTTTGCTCCAAAAGATGCATTAGGGATTATACATAGCTTCCTGGACACTATTTAAATGGACATTTTTCATGAACTGTAGCTTGGGCTTCTTATTGAAGTAGAACTTATATTTCAAACATCCTGAAAAACCATGCTAGGCCTTATTTTCGGGGTAGAGCTTATTTTTTTGGAGAAACAGGATATTAATGTAGGAATCATCTAAACCAGTGGTTCTCAACCTGTGGGTCCCCAGGTGTTTTGGCCTACAACTCCCAGAAATCCCAATCAGTTTACCAACTGTTAGGATTTCTGGGAGTTGAAGGGCAAAACATCTGGGGACCCACAACTTGAGAAACACTGATCTAAACAATATCTTGTATACGTAAGTAGATCATGTCTTATAAATTCACGAGAAAGAATTTATAACAATATCATGTATACATAAGTAGATCATGTCTTATAAATGCATGAGAAAGAGTAAAATACCTATTTACACATTGCATTACTACTTAAAACACAGATCTACTTAAAATGAACATAAAACATGCTAATGAATCTAGATCAGCTCTTTAGGATCATGCTGGAGGAAAATAAGTAGAAGTAATCAAAACAAGTTGGTCATTGTAAAAACGGAAAGGTGGACTAGAGGTACATCTATTCATAGAATGAATGCAGTTAAAGTGGTATCAAACTGCATGGTTCTAAACTATGGAGTAATGGCACTTGCAGTTTTACAAGATCTTTAGCATTCTCTGCTACAGAGTGCTGATTCCTCACCAAACTACAATGCTGTGGCATTGAACGATGGTGGTTAAAGTGGTGTCAAACTGCATTAATTCTACAATGTAGAGCAGGCATGGGCAAACTTCGGCCCTCCAGGTGTTTTGGACTTCAACTCCCATAATTTAAAATACATTATACCTAGGATGCATCTACACCAGGCATGGGCAAACTTCAACCCTCCAGGTATTTTGGATCTCACATCTTACCAGCTGTTAGGAATTGTGGGAGTTGAAGTCTAAAACACTCGGAGGGCCAGAGTTTGCCCAATTTATTTATTTGCTTTATTTCTATACCGCATTTTTCAGCCCTTAACAGGCGACTCAATGTAGAGGCACGCTAAGTATACTGTATTTTAAATCAGATTCTACATGACTATTAAGATGCTAGAAGACTTTGTTCTTCCTGTTGAAGTACGCTATTACTATCATAGTAGCAACATAAACATTTTATGGAGCAAATTTTTCTTGAAGACTTTTTGTGTAGATATATTTGTTTTGTTCCTTGAAAAAATGCTGATCTCCAGTCTCCTAAATGATGTCCTCCTGTTTCTTTTGCAGGAAAGGGAAAATGAAGAAGAACCTTTGAAGAGTCTGATTATGTCACTGAGCAGCTATGATGTGTTTATATTTTGTTGCAGTAATATCTATTTTAGAAGGCAGAAAACTTCATTTTTCAGAATAAATCAAAATGCAAAATTCAAATTATTCTTTTCTCCGTGTGTCCTTTACTGATGTAATCATACAGAGCCTTATAGGGGACAGCTATAGATTTGCTTAACTTGATAGCATACAACACAAGTATATAGTGAAAAGACCAAGGCAGAGACATCTCCAGCTCATCCCCTGTTTAGGTATCAGCCAGCACATCAACGATTTAAATCAAGAAATAGTTTTCTAAGATCTACAGAGACACTCGCTGGAACACCCCAGCAAGCGAGAGTCCAAAAGTGGCAGGCTCAAACCCAGAACCTCAATCCATGGCTGATACCATATGAGAGACTCCTCCCTGGGCACACAGAGGACTGGGCGACTTGGAAGGCGCTGAACAGACTGCGCTCTGGCACCACGAGATGCAGAGACATTCAGAAATGGGGCCACAAAGTGGAATCCACGACATGCGAGTGTGGAGAAGAGCAAACCACTGACCACCTGCTGCAATGCACCCTGAGCCCTGCCACATGCACAATGGAGGACCTTCTTGCGGCAACCCCAGAGGCACTCCAAGTGGCCAGATACTGGTCAAAGGACATTTAACCAAATACCAAATTTGCAAAATCTGTGTTTTTTTTTTCCTTTTTCTTTTTAATCTGTGTGTTTGTTTTGCTCTGTTAGAATTGTAATACAATGGTTGCTGATGACACGATAAATAAATAAATAAATAAATAAATAACACAAGTATATGCTCCAGGCTATTCATAAATAGGATGTCCTTACCAGAGTTTGGCTTCTGTCAACTGGACCTTACAGATCCATTAAATTCAGTGGTTCTCAACCTGTGGTTCCCCAGGTGTTTTGGCCTATAACTCCCAGAAATCCCAGTCAGTTTACCAGCTGTTTCTGGGAGTTGAAGGTCAAAACATCTGGGGACCTACAGGTTGAGAACCACTAAATTAATTCAAGATAGAATGATGAGATGGGATTAAAAAGGAACAATTCTGCAGAAGCTCTACCATTTCCCTTAAAAACAACATGTTCTTTATCTTTACAAATAGATGAGCCTTAAGCAAATATTAAATGAATACCACTCGACAATATGCCATCACATTTCATCTTGACCAAGGCTCAGAAGTCAAATCTTGATATCCTCCAAGGATCAATATCAGGACCACAGTTTTTAAACTTGCTCACAAATGGAGTTAGATGTAAGAAGTGGGTGACCAAATCTGCTCAAAATAATAACAAATTATTTAGGGTATGTAGAACAAAAGATCTACTTTTTGAAGTGCTCTAAAAGGAGTTCCCCAAACTGGAGAAATGGATATTATATTGCAAATGAAGGTCTGTGAAAAAGTAATGTCCACTAGGTGGGAAAATCAAATTCATAATATACTCAGCAACTTCAGAGCTAAAAAAAATCAGTTTTTATCTTTTCTCAGATACTTTACTACCTGTTCATTGCTGCAAGCTCTATCTCAGTGTTTCTCAACCTTAATACGGTTCTTCATGTTGTAGTGATCCACAACTATAAAATTATTTTCGTTGCTACTTCATAACTCTAATTTTGCTACTGTTATGAATCGTAATATAAATATCTGATATGCAGGATGTATTTTCATTCACTGGATCAAATTTAGCACAAATACTCAATATGCCCAAATTTGAATACTGGTTATTTTATTTATCGTGTCAGGAGCAACCAGACGAATTGTATTACATTTTTAACAAAACAAACACACAAAACACAAAGTTTGCAAGCTTGGTAGTTGATTAAATGTCCTTTGACCAGTATCTGGTCACTTGGAGTGGCTCTGGTGATGCCGCAAGAAGGTCCTCCATGGTGCATGTGGCAGGGCTCAGGTTGCATTGTATCAGGTGGTCGGTGGTTTACTCTTCTCCATACTCGCATGTCGTGGATTCCACTTTGTAGCCCCATTTCTTAAGATTGGCTCTGGTGCCAGAGTGCAGTCTGTTCAGCACCTTCCAAGTCATCCAGTTTTCTGTGTGCCCGGGGGGGGGAGTATCTCATTTGGTATCAGCCATTGATTGAGGTTCTGGGTTTGAGCCTGCCACTTTTGGACTCTCGCTTGCTGGGATGTTCCAGTGAGTGTCTCTGTAGATCTTAGAAAACTATTTCTTGATTTAAGTCGTTGACATGCTGGCTGATACCCAAACAGAGGATGGGCTGAAGATGTCACTGCCTTGGTCCTTTCGCTATTGGCTGCTACTTCCCGGTGAATGTTGGGTGGTGCAATACCGGCTAGACAGTGTAATTTCTCCAGTGGTGTAGGGCGCAGACACGCCGTGATAATGCGGCATGTCTCATTAAGAGCCACATCCACTGTTTTAGTCTGGTGAGATGTGTTCCAGATGTGTTGAATACTGGTGGGGTTGGGGGGATTGATTTTGTCACTTGGGTGTTGTAGTTGCTGGGATTTATAGTTAACCCCCAATCAAAGAGCATTCTGATCTCTACCAATGATGAAATTGAACCAAACTTGGTACACAGAACTCCTATGACCAACAGAAAATACTGGAAGAGTTTGGTGTGCACTGACCTTGAATTTGGGAGTTGTAGTTCACCTATATCCAGAGAGCACTGTGGACTCAAACAATGATGGATCTGGACAAAAGTTGGCACAAATACTCAATATGCATAAATGTAAACATTGGTGGTGTTTGGGGAAAATAGACCCGAACATTTGGGTGTTGTAGTTGCTGGGATTTATAGTTCACCTGTAGTCAAAGAGCATTCCACAGAAAAGCTGCGGAGAACATGGAAATAAAGGAAGAAAAACCTGCCCCCTCATACAATAATCACTGATTTTGGAAGCTCAGCAGAATCAGAGAATCATAGAGTTGGAAGAGATGACAAGGGGCATCTAGTCCATGCAGGAACACACAATCAAAGTACTTCCAACTGATGGCCATCCAACTTCTCTTTCCAGATCCCCAAAGAAAGAAACTCCATAACAATCCAGGCAGTGTACTGCACTGTCAAAAAGCTCTTACCATCAGAAAGGTCTTCCTAATATTTAGGTAGAATCTCTTTTCCTGTAGTTTGAGTCCATTACTCTGTGTTTTAGTTCCTGGAACAATAAACAAAACAAAATGTCCCCTTCAATATGACATCCTTTCATACATTTCAACATATGTTGCCTCTTAACCTTCTCTTCTCCCTAGAGATGAGAAAGCCCGGAAAAAAAAAACCTCAGAAAAAAAGGGGGGCACAATTTTTTTCAGGTTTTTTCCCAATTTTTCCTTTTTTTTCTCAAGGCCTTCCCATCTCTACTTCTCTCTAAGCCACTCCTCGGAGGGCATGGTTTCCAAACTTTTTACCATTTTGGACACCTTCCAGCATGTCAATATCCTTCTTGATATTGATTAACCAAGGATCAGCCCTGTGGTTAGTACTTTGATGGTTGATCATCAATAAATCCCAGGTGCTGTAGGCTATTTCAGAAGAAGGAATTTTCAAAATCACCTCTAAGTATGCTTTGCTTAATAAAACCCGACGAAATTCATGGACTCACCATAAATCATCAAGTGACTTGGAGGCACAAGAATACACCGTAAATAGCTAGTCAATCTCCTAGTAAATGTCCACACTGCGGAATTATCACATTCTGATACCACATTCCAATGGCTCCATTCATCATAAAAGATTTTTAGTTTCAGATATCAAGGGGTTACAATTGTAAAGCATGGATATCCCATGAGTCTTTTTTTGCCAAATTTATTAAACACATCCCTGTATAGAATGTAGGCATGAGCAATCCATGGTTCTAAATGGTTCTAAAGTACTTCCAAAACTGGGGGGCACTGCTGCTTTGCTTCTACTGTGTTGCTAAAGTTCTGGTGGTGAAAATTTCAGAACTCTAACAAAACTTTCAAAATTTTGTTATAAATGGCAGTTCCTAATTGGTTCTGTCATAAAATTCACCAATAATGAAATAATAATGAAATTTTGGAAGTTTTGTTAGCATTCTGAAATTTTCACTATCAGAACTTTAGCAATACTTTAGAAGCAAAGCACCAGCGCCCCCTAGTTTTGTAAGTACTTTAGAACCATTTAGAACCATGGATTGCCCATGCCTAATATAAAGACTTAAAGGTCCATGCACTTTGAATATAGAAATGCCTTAAGTATATAATTCCCTTTGCTCTTTCCCTGAAAATATTATAAAGGGTGGAAGGGAATTTTCAAGCCATTAAGCAAATGTATGCTCAAGGATTTTTTTTATCCCAAGTCATTGATTGGCTGAATTTATTCTATTTTAGCAGTGTTCTAACACCCATTAAGACTGTATCTACATTGCCATATAATTTAATATCTGACTTCAGATTATCTACTTTGAACTGGGTTATATAAATCTACACTGTCATATAATCCAGTTTGAAGCACAGAATTTGGGATCAGAAACTGGATTTTACGGCAGTTTTGATGGGGCCAAAGACTTCATTCTCATCCCAAAATTTTCCATTGCTGTATCTATACTACACTGGGTGCAAGGTATCTGTATTCTCTTGAACGACAACACTAGAGCTATCTAACAGAAAGTTACCTCAACTACTGAAACAGTGTAGTTGTAGATGTCCTTTCCTCTCCAAGAAAACATCAACAACAATTCTTCATTTTACTGGTTCATCACTATCACTACACATTATGCAATGTGAGTAAACATTCAGAAAAAGGTTATAATCCCACAAACTGGGTTGATGACAAATGGTCTCTTTCATGCCTGCAGTGCTTCAGGCAAGAGAGAAGCACTATGTTCTTGCACCTCAACTTCCTGGATAAACTTTGAAGCAAAACAATGGACATCCACCAAGACTCCTTGTCACGTTTTGAGTACAAATTAAGAGTTCAATTTAAACTTCATCAGAGATTAAGGCAGTAAAGTGATATTGACATATTAATAGGTAATATAAAACAAATACGGATAGCATCTGTGCTAGTCGCCATCAAGACAAAAACCGGTTTTATTTCTTTCAGTCCTTTGGTGCTTATAGTTTCCTTAGTCTTGCTGACTATCAACAAAGGTCTTAAGGTCATATGTACATGTTGACCTCATGAACAAGTTCAGGGAAGCTTTTGGGGTAAGAATTATGGATTTTGATATGACTCTAAGTAAGTCGAGAGTCATTCCATGTAGACGGGGAAGTGCTAGCAATGACTTGGATGGCCAGCTGCCCTGGCCATCAATGCCACCATTTATTATCCCAGGCATTCAGAAAGGTTAGAAGCAACACTATGATAGATAGAGAAGAAGGGGTCAGTCCATCTTTTAGG